AAATACCAGTACTCTCAGAAATGAACAATCTAACTAAAACATACACCCAAAATAAAGTGTGGGGTGTCMTTGTACAGTCAAATACACAAAAACAGTAACACAACTAATAATCTCATTTGAACAATGTCTGTATTTCTCACATTATACTATGACAATGAAACAAACTAAAGACCTCCTTTTATTATCATACATGTAAGATACTTGGTTTCTTTAGTGCAAAATTGTACTTTCCCTTCATGAATTGTATCAGTATAGCTGGGAAACTACTGGAGTAAACTCTTGTCAAACTGAACTGCTAATTTCATAGTTTGCAATTGTACCTAAAAACTAAAATATGCTGTGTGCACACATTATCGAATTAACCTTCGATGAAGGCAACAGCTTTAAGAAACACTTAATAGTCAAAACTAAGAAATATCAATAGAATATTAAAAGCTATTTTAATTCGTCTCAGAGTCGCAAGAAAACACGCAGGGTATGCCGACAGTACTWATAAATCGTTGGTAAAGTGATAGCTTATTTAGCTAACAACAAATGTAAATCTTAAACTTGTTAGCATTAACTTGAGTAGTGCTAAACCCGTTTGCGTTAATGCTACAGCTATGTTTACATGATAGCTAGGTGTTTCACACTATTACACACTATAGCATGTATATAAAGATGTTTATTATGTTCGCCAAACRGAAACTGCATACCTTTCCACACACACCTCCTCAGAAGCATGCTCAGACCACCCCGACTTTACCTTAAAACCCCGGCAATTCTTGCAAACGTCATTCGGAAAGTCTCACGGATAGCCCACGGGTTATGTAGTTTTATTTTGAAGAATTGCTGCTTTAAACTGCTGAGTAGCCACGGCAGAAGAACTACATTTCCGCTCAGCTAATGTGTGCGTTTGATTCATTCGCTAGGGAGCACCGGTGTAGCGTTTTCACTGAAACACAACGGTAGTTTGTGGACTTCTGTCTAACGGGCCTGGCTGGCTTATTTATCATTCCCACTCCAACAAAGTCTACATTGTGTGTGACTGGCGATGCTTTCTTTTCTCAGCCCAGAAAGTGTTTGCTTTGACAGGCTATAAGGAGAAGCTTAGCTTTTTAGCTAGCGATTTTGTGTGTCATATTCGAAAAGAACATTGCRAGAGTAGAAATTGAACGCACGTCAAATTCCTTTAGTTTACATCCTGGTTTTCACACAAACAAGGAAAGGCTGCATGGAGACATCAGCTGCTGTTACGCGGGAGAAGGTACTTTTGTTAATTTCCCGAAAGATTAAAACATGTTTATTCAGTTATGTTAGGCTACTGCTACACAGTTTAATTCATACTAGCCAGTCGGTGCTGCTGCAACAGAAAGTATATTGAAGTTGTGTGCAGAAGTTGGTACAAATAATTACATTTATTTAGTTAAATGATAGATCTTGGGTTTTTCTCACTCTTTTTTTATTTTCTGTATTGCATACTCATTGATTATGGTTTCTCGCTTCACTAAAGAAAAAGTGTGTGAATCTCTGTATTATTCTCTAAATGATGGGACAGTTTAATCCCCTGTGTCCCTGCAGGAAGCGCGTCCACCTCCAGCAGCCAGTATGTCCCTGCCATCCTACAAAGACTATCCAGCTCACTGTCCATTCATCAACACATTTGTACATCATGAACCCCAAACAAACACTCGGTATCGTCCAGCATCACCCAGCAAAGCTTTCCCAGAAACRAGCAGCGCAGGTGAGCTCAATTTGTTTAAGTGTGCATTGCCAAATTTTCCATTCAAACATTGTGTCTTAGCTCCATGGTTACACGTGCAACGTGATGCCACACTACTTGAATGTCTCAGCTGCACAGGCATCCTTTCATCCACTTAATCATTTACTCCATTTAATAATCTTTTAACCCCATCTGCATCATTTTCTGTGTCCCACTCGTTTCTTTTTGTGCTCTTGCAGCGATCTTATCTGCCTTGAGGAACCTCCAGGAGAAGATCAGGAGGTTGGAGTTAGAGAAAGAGCACACAAAGCTCAGCCTGCGTACTACAGGGAAACACACTTCACATAAACTTCTTCAGAGTGAGAGCGATACACAGAGACACTTAAATGATCAAAAAGATAGAGAAATAAAGGCTAATGGCCAGTCCAACTGCAACCAAGGTGAGCACATTCATAATATACCCTTTTTTAGGTTCACTGTTAGTATTGTTTTACACATTTAGTGCACACATTGTCTTGTTTCTTTGTAGCGTTGATCACCCACCTGGCAGCTGCAGAGTCTCGCTGCGAGAAGCTGGAGCGACAGCTGGAGCACATGAGGAGGATGTTGCGTAGTACCAGAGCAGAAAAGCCCAGCCTTCTCAGTCAGCAGGTAAACTTACCGTCTCAAATCCTACATTAGGTTTATTTGAGCTCTTCTTTTCTGAAAAAGATCCACAAAAACTCTGCGCGTGGAATCAGATTGTTGTTTTCTCTTTGAGGCTTTTATGGAGAAAGCCAGCGCAGCTGATCAACAGCCTAACGCAGTTTCTGAACATGCCCAGTTGGAAAAACTGGAGCGACTCGAGCGAGAATATCTCAGGATGACTCGAACGCAGACAACCGCTGAGGTATTTGAAACGCATATTAACTTTGAAACTTCTCACAGCGATAAAATAAACGGTGTATGTTTATTTCACAAAGGGATCAGAAATCSTAAATGTAGATTTAAACTTTAATACATGACTAGAACATAACTTGCCTCAGAATTACTGTATTATCAGGATAAGATCACATTTGTGGGGGAAAATGGTTTTAAACTTGTCCACCTTTTTCATCTTCAGCAGGTTTTGGTTTAATGAATTAGTTATATTGTTATTTTTGGGTTATCTGTCTTATATTTAACACAGTATTGATGGATGTGACTCTGGATATGATAGGGGAAGATTCGTGAACTGGAGAGGAAGCTCCAAGAAGAGGAGCATCAGAGAAAGCTCATCCAGGACAAAGCCAGCCAAGTAAGAAGATGCAGACCATTTTTTTAAAACCTAGAACAATCTTTCTTGTATTTACCCTTCGTAGTTCAAATCATCTCATTTTGTATTTTTTAGTACTTTAAGTCTTTTTTTTCTTTCAGCTACAAAGCGGTTTAGAGGCCAACAGGATCTTGCTGCGGTCCGTGTCTCCACGTCTGTCCATCAGACAAGCCAGAGAGAAGAAACCAGATTCAAAGGTGACACGTTTCACACACACGCCTCAGGATGCTTTGCACTTTAGTTGGAGCCTTACTGCTGTAATGAAAATTTTCAGATTTAAAATTAAATCTGTTTTAATCCTTTAACATTTTTAAACCAAAACCAAACCAAATAGTTAATATCCATGTTTTCAAAACAGTTTGGACATTTTATGAAATGTCGATATTAAAATAACAAAATGTTTTAACACTTAATTTGAAAATTGCATTAAAAACAACAAAGAATATATATATATATATATATATATATATGTGAGAAATACAGACATTGTTCAAATGAGATTATTAGTTGTGTTACTGTTTTTGTGTATTTGACTGTACAAAGACACCCCACACTTTATTTTGGGTGTATGTTTTAGTTAGATTGTTCATTTCTGAGAGTACTGGTATTTACTGAATGTCACTGAATGCACCATGTGGAAAGGTTCTGAAACGGGCGTCTCTTGAACGTTACTTTACACCCGGACTCTGACCGCAGCAGAAGCACCGTGAGTGTGTGGAGCCAGTTTATATTCTGTGTGGAGCTAAAAGAAAAAAAATGTTTGGATAAAAACTACTCCATTCGTCGACTGATGTCTTCAAGCTGCAACATATATTTACACGTCTTAGAAAATAAAACAGGTTTATTGTAATTAACTCTTAAAAACACATTACATACTTATTAAAAAGACCAGGGGTCGGATTTATAAAGCTTGCGTATGGCACTTTTCATGCAAAGATTGTGATTTATAACATCCAAACTTGAGAGAAAATTAATTTGAAGCTGAGTTTTTGATAAAAATCATTAGATTACTCTAAACTTCTTTAAACCTGCAAAATGAGGGAAAATCTGTGTCAATTACAGACAATCTGTTCATGTGAGCAGCTGTCTGTCAGCACCTGTCATCCTCCAGATGCAAGATGGTCAATCACATCTTTTGACATTGATCAGCTGACTGATTTAAATACATCTTAACATTCATGAGGTACTTTGCATTGACTGTTTATGGTTGAATGTGGGCGTGTAGAGGGTAGAACCTGAGGCGGGACCTTGTGCGCAAACTCTGAGGTGAAGCTGTGATCTAAAAAAGAAAGATGCGCAGAAACATGCGTACGCACGGTTTTATAAATCTGAAAAAAAAWTTTGGCGTACGCCATTTTCGCATTTTGGCCGTATGTTCACTTTAGTATGGTTTCCACGCAATCCTTGACCCCTGGTACTGTAGTTTTAAAGGTGAGAATTGTTATAAAAAATAAGCTCCTCTGTATTTCTGGGTTTAAATAAGCAAAAGATGGTGGTCATTGTCTTGTAGAAAAAAAAATGTCTTCTAACAATATCTCCTTGGGAAGGTCATATATGACCTTTTTGTTTAACATTCACCTCACAATTATTTTGTTTTTGAAGCATTTAATCTAGCAATAAAAATAAATATTGTATAAGCTGTTCTACTTTGATTTAAACAATTGAAAGAAATCCAAGTCATGTTTTAAAGTAACTAACGATAAAGCAAATCTTAAGTTTCGTACATATTTTGCATTCRCTCCTTTTATGTTTTTAGATCTTGTTGATGTTTTTCCTTTGCAGAAATGTTCTCCAGAGCGCTCGTCCCAAACAGAACCACACTACAGACTCAGCCTGAGAGATGTACCTTTTGTTACTGGAACGGTAATGTCTGCGTTCATGGACAGTGTTATGGTGGCAGTGTTGCTCTCTGCATCTCTCTTTGACTCTTCCTGTCTGGTTTCCAGTCAGCAGGCTGCAGCCACTCAGTCAGAGCCAACGTTCAGGCCGTGCTGTCGCTCCTGAAGTGTCACCAGCCCTGCCTCTGCAACAGCCGCGTCCTCTCTGGCAAAACGAGCCGCTCTGAGAAAGGAAGCCGCGACCGTTCAGGCAGCTCCTCCTCCTCTTCGTCTGTTAACGGAGAGGATATATCGGAGCTGCTGCAAGCCCTGCAGGAGGAGCTGCGGCTCATGAGTTTGTGAGTAAATTTGGCGTTCGAGCTTAGTTCGGAGCTACGTTTGATAATAGTGTTGAGTTTTATTTGTTTGTGTTCCAGGGAGCAGGATGAGTTGATGAGGCAGGTGGAGGACAGCGTCTCTAATGAGGAACGGAAAGCTCTTCAGAGGGAGCAGGAGAGGCTGTTACTGAGAATGGAGCGGAAAGGGGAACAGATCAGTAAGCTCCACAAACACAAATCACAGGTAAGCCTTCACAAATTGACGTTTTTTTAAATGAAGATTGACCTTCTTTCAACGCCTTTTTTGACTAAACAAGAAATCACGTTTGTGGTTTTAGATCATGAAGCTGAGAAAGGAAGCTAAATCCAGACCAAACAGCGGGAGCAAAGGACGAGTTCCCGCCAGAGGTCGCTCTGTCAGATCTCTCAAAGTTCAGCCAGGAGAGAGAAGTAAGAGGAACCTGAGGCTGCTGAAGGACATGAAGGCTCTGCAGGCCTCGTTACAGACCTGAAACTAACATGAGGTTGATCTTTACTTCGCTGTCGGTGTATTAATTCAGCTTCTGTCTAAAGAAAACTAACGCTACACAAACTACTCAGACTTATGACTCATCATCACATGATGATTTCTCGTAAAGGATTTGATTTGTTTTTACTATTTAAATCAGTTTGACTTTTTGTTATTGTTCTTTCTTTGTGCCTTTTATAAGAATCAATCAAACCATTTCAATGAGCATGAAGGATTTAAATTTTTATTTACTCTCCCGTTGTTGTTTTTAGCAGCTCCTTTTTCTGACCAGCAGAGGGTYTACAAGTTCAATATTCATATAAAACTCATAAAGCTTGGAGAACATTGTATAATTTCTTTATAGTTGTCTTTCCTCATTGAATGTTTAAACACTATTACTAGTTTTACAGAGTGTGAAAACTTATATTAACAGAGACCAAGATTATTTAGCAGAAAAACAACCCTGGTTTAATTGGATTTAAGTAGGGTCCACCTTCTTTGGAAATGTAAAGAAATTTCTTCCTGTGCAATTTTGCATTTTAAAACCAAAATGAAAGCAAAAGACTGAGGGTAAATAATTACTATTTGTATAAAATTAGCACAAAAAGTTAAGAAATTTGTATTTGTAACAAAGCTTCTTGGCTATAAATTTTATACCATTGGAAAGTGTTTCTTAAATGGGGCATATTTTGAACTCTTTATACCCCTGATTAAAAAAATACACCTCTGTTTTCTGGTGTTGATTTCAGTTCAAACCATTTTATTCACTAAATGAGCTTAAATGATTTAAAAAAAGAAGTGCATTAGCCTACAAATTAATTCATTTTTGAATAAAATGGCTGCATGGTGTTGGATAAAACTTAATATATGGTTTAATATTTGGACAACATTCCTAAAAAGGGAGGTAGATGGGGAGTTAATCAAAACAAATAAATTACGTTTTTTTTTTTCTCTGAAGGGAAATCACGCAGCAAAACATCCAGATGAGATAAAAAACTTGTGAAGGTGTTTGAATCAGGTGGAGAGCAAAGTGTCCTTTTACTGTAACTCTGTGTGTGAGCATCTACAGCAGCACTGAGACGATCTTTATGTCTGAGTGAATCTGCAGATTATTTAGTGTGTTAAATTGATGAGTGAGACAAAAAACTGTTTTTATTTCAGCTTCATTTAATTTAACAGTTTACAAAAACACTGATGTAGTGTTCAGGGACTACTGAAGTTTTCCAAAGAAGCCATTGACTATGTTTTAAATATCTATCTAAATTTATATATTTTGAAAAAAATCAACAAATACATAATCCATTTTTTGACAAGAAGCTAAGAGCTGAATATTAATCTGTTTGCTTGAGAAATAAAGCATGTTTGCAGAAAATTTGCCTGTGCTTTAATACGCTTGTTTATTTTTCTTTTGCGTTATAAGTTTAGTCGCATTCAATACAAATTAAATGAATTAGTCATTTTTTTCTGTTCATGTTTGGGGATATGGATGTGATTAGTGCAAGTTATGAAAGTTTTTTTGTGTTTGTGTGACCGATGGACAAGAAAAACCACAGCAAATTATTCTGAGCAAAATCCTGGATGTGGACAAACGGTGTAAGACACGATGAGCTGATTTCAAATAAACATTTGTTTGCTCTTTCAATAATCCACAATTACAAACTTTGTGTATGTTTACAAAATATATGAAATTGCTGGTAGCTGTAAAGTTTGAAGACAAGATGTGAAACAGGTTCTATGTAAAATATGACCAAAAGAACATAGCTGGAAATTTGTGAATATACCTGACTTAATTTAAGATTACYGTGTCCTGCCTCAGACACTGCAACATTTGTAGTGTGCAAAATATTTATTCTTGTGCATTTTTGCCTTTTAAAACAGTAAAATCAAATCAAAGCAAATGACTGAGAGTATAACACAAACTCCTCCTATATGTAAACGTAGCAGAAAAAGTTAGAAAATTTATGTTTGGTAGATTGTTTCTTTGTAACAATGCTTCTTGGAAATTAACCTTATACTTTTGGAAAGCCTGTTTATTTTTCTTTTAAATGATCCCACATTTGTAAGGAACATGCATTTGTGGGCTGAGCAGCTGAGTATGTGGGTTCTGCCAAACAGCTTATTTTGCTGTTATAGATCCTTYTTTTGAGCTTCTGGTACCCCCACGTGCTGCCAATCATGAGATTTATTGCCAAGAAGCCTTACAACAAATAAATAATACACAATGTTCTCAGTTTGGAAACAAAACAACCTGAAATTGCTACATAAAAAAACAAGTTTCATTCTAACTTGTAAATATTCACATTAAATTCATTAGACTTCAAAGCATGAAGTTTAACACTTTATGCTACAATTAGCTTCACAGTTCTGTCTCATAAATAATTTCTGTTAAACAGGTATGACATCAGTTATAGCCCAGTTTACTTCACTGTAAATGTGAAAAACACTGGTTTCTTCCAAAGAAACTGGACACATGAACGCAGGATCAGGAGTGTAGGATTTAGGCTTTAAACCATCACTCATTTGGAAAGTGGGTCATGGGTTCACTTGGCGTTCTGCCTATGCATTTCAGTCTTCACTATTAGGAGAAACAGATGAATAAATAACGATGCTGCTCACGAGGTCGGAGTCAGCGGCCAGCATGTGAAAGGTCTGTCACCTGCAGGTGTGTGCGTGTCACCTTGAAGCAACAGCTCAGGTAAAGGAGAGGAGTCTGGACACCTGATCCTCGTGTGTCATCACTGCTGACCAGGTTCAGATTGCCATGGCCACCTGAAAGCAAAACCTGTAACCAGAATCTTCAGTGCTTGTGATCAGGTGTGATGAAAACCGCTCCACTGGTTTACCCGTTACGAATCCAATCTAAACTGACCTAAATAAGGAGAGTTGTTTGCATCAGGCCACAGAAGTCCAGTTTGAGTCTGCTCAGAGTTCCCATGATGAGTCTGAAACATTCAAAAGTTCCCTCAGGAATCGGTCTCACTTATGGAAGCCAGACCAGTGATTTTAGGCTCTTCCGGGTGTTTGGTCAGAACAGGCCGGTTGGTGTAAATATCATCCACAGGTAAAAGGAACGATACAGATTTGACCTTGGCCCTGAAATAAAAATAAACTTTAATTTAAAGGAAATAAAACCCTTTAAATTCAGTAAAGCTACTGTTCAGATTTTTTTTGAAGTGGGTTTCAGTAAAGCAATAATATCCTACCTGTTGTAGATATAACCCTAAATGAACTTGGTTTGGAGAAAAAATTGTGTGGATGAACGAAATCAATGACTAAATCAGGCGAGGCCGGGATTTGATTGCTTCAGTCTTAATTTAGCCCCCGAATTTTCATGTAAAACTTGTCAGTTTTATGGTTACAAGTGTAAACAGCAGCAGGAGCTAGCTGTAGTACATGAAAATGCAGCCTGGTAAGCAATAATGCAATAATATTTCTGCTAAATAATAATGAAGTGTTTAACTTAGGCTGGTGTAAAAGTGGTGCCATCAGTTTACAATTTAACTCTGTTTCTTCAAAAAGAGGCCGTTCAAAGACTCATGTWCAACAGGTATGATATTAATTGTTCATGTTCCCATAGAACCTTAATGCAGTAGACCTTTCTCACAAACAGAAGCTTCATACATTGGATTGAAAAGGACATTTTGCACCTGTTTTTCTGAACATATTCCTGCAGAGAGTGCCGGTTAGTGACTTCTTCCTCCGCCTCTCTTTTGTCTGAGTTATTAAACAGATCACTGTCAGGCTGCATTTCTTCCCGCAGTCTCCCCCATGCAGAGTTACTTTGCTTGGCTTTGTCGACCCGACCATCTCTTACCACTATCCCAGAGAGGTTGGAGCTTGTAGAGTACCGTCGAACAGTCATGACAGAGTTTTCTGTGGGAAAAGATGAAAAGACACAGTTTTTTTTCCCTTTTCTTTGATCATTTGCATATTCAAATACGAAATGTGGCATCTAACTTGTTTTACTAAAGAACTGAGGTGCCTTTAAGTGAGAATATTTTACAATTTACTCTTTGAAATGCTCATGTTTTATTAAACTTTAAAGCTCAAGGTGATCATAATCAAGACATAAAGCTTGCAGTGATCGGTTCAGTCACCTTTGAACTGTCCCTCCAGGATTGGCGCAGACGCATTCCGTCTCAGGTTCCCGTAAGGGTTCTCCACGATCCCGTCCTGCTCCTTTCCCCCAGAGTAACCCTCCTCACAGGCTCCTCCTGACCCGTGCCCAGATGAATCCTGAGCGCACTCCCCGCGGAGCTCTCTGTTTTCCGCCTCCAGCTTCTTGATCTCGTCGCGCATCTCCACGATGACCTGCGCCAGGCTGCGGGTGCTCTCCATGGTGCTGCTGCTGCGCTGCCAGTACCAGGGCTTCCCAAATACCGGAGGCGGGTCGTGCACGAGCAAGTCCCCGCCGTGCTGCTGCTGCTGCTGCTGCGGCTTTAACATGCTGCTGCTGTCCCTCCGCTCCAAAGGAGAGAGACCGTCCTGTCCCGTCCCCGCTGTGCGCCTTTCTACTCTCTCTGCGCTTCTCAATCTCAGTCCAGATCCTGATGCGCGGGGGGGTAGATTATGTCGCCTTTCACCACTTATCCAGCTGAAAGAGCTCCAGTGAGCAGCCAGCTCCACACTGCGGATATTTTATTTATCAGTCCCGGCGTCCAGTTTCATGAAAACCAAGCAGGGGGAAATTAAAAGCGCACTCCACAAGTGCTTTCTTTCTAACTGTAGATCTATAAGAGCCTTTATTTTATTTATTTATTTGGACAACTTAACCTCTTGTATTGCTGTCTCGATTGAGAATGAAATTAAATTTCATAATTCAATAATTAAGCTCAACATTTTACAGTAAAAATCCATTCGCAAATGTAGCAAAGCGTGTAAAAAATATTTTACTTACAGTATTTGTCATATTTATACACAACTGGAAATCATTGTGCAGTTTTCAACATACCATAATGATATAAAAAGTTAAACTTGACTGTAGTGATGTTTAAAAGGGAATGTTTATTATTTAGTCTTCATAACATAATTGTTCCCAAACTGGAAGTGTGAAGACAGAACGTATGTATAGGAAGGAAAGTAATAATCATTCATTTTCATGCTTCAAAAAAGGGTCATAGCTGAATGAAGCAATGAAAAGTTTCAGTACATGACAGTTTAACCTGTTGCTCTTTGGTTGAAATGACCCACGAGCAGCTGCTACAACACCAGCAAAAACTCACACTACAGTACTAACACTGCTTGAACAGAGACACCTTTGCACCTTTGCTTGATGGAATAAATCCAAACATCAGAGAAAAGTTTTGAAACTACCTAAAACAAGGTAAGTGAAAACAAGTTGCAGTTTTTTGGGCTGTAAGCACAGCATGACCAGGTTTGGTTTGGTGCTGGCTCAGAGCAACCTGACCCTGTTTGGAGTCAAGGCCACCAGTAAGAGAGAGACAGACACAAATGAACCGGTCTGTAAAGAACAGAAACCCAATCAGMCTTCCATACAGCTGTCAGTGGGGGCAGGAGAGATGAGACACAGGAGGAGAGAACTACTGACAGGCTGCAGGGARAATAGTTTGTAAAGAAGATGTACTGTAGGAGGTCGGTGTAATTCTATCTGCTGCACCTCAGGTGCAACAGAGCGAGAGTGAAGAGACAGAGATATAAATGTGTCAGCTGCTCTGTTAGGAAGAGATCGAAACAGAGACACATGATCAAAAGCTGCGTTTCATTACTGGCTGTGTTCAGGGCCACTTAATTGCTTTTTATGTCCAAAACCCAGGCTTAGCATCAATAAGTAAAGAACATCTCATCTATTCTTTCTGTGTGCYCAGTCAGTAATTATATCCAACAACTGGGAAAAAAAGACATCASATCCCATGGAAACTGCTTTGTTTGAGGGCATGCTTAATTTTAATGTCATTTTACTTTCACTGAAATCCAAAGCACATTTGTTTTACCAAGTTGAAGCCAGTTCGATGAACCCTTCTTCATATGGTTTGTTTACGCCATGTATAGGAACCAGTTAAAAAAAGGAAACAGTGATGACATGTTAAGAAAAAAAGATGTTCATATTTTGAGTTTTATTTCATAAAGTCTACATTTTTATGCATTTCGTTCCTCAGAATGAAAGCTGAATCTTCAGCTAAAAAAAGCTTTGTTTTTTTAAACTTTTTTTACCCGGTGATGTGCATTATTATATGCTGCTTGTGCTTGATCACCTCAGTATCTCAATTTAGAAGGGTGTCCAAGAATCGAAACTAAATGCATTTAAACTAATAAATGTGCAGCAAATAAACCAAAAGTTGTTCCAGATCAAGACCATCCAGACATTCAGAGGACGTCCAAAGTGTTCTGTGAAGCTGCACTGCTATGGAAGCCTATTTCTGCCACTCTGAAAAAAGCATCATAATGATGACCTAACTATTCTTTCAATGGAGTGGCATAAATGGGCTTCCATTCACAACTGTATGGAAGATTCTGAGTAAAACAGTGTTTAATTTTTTTTAACCCTTTCAATAGAATTGGACTTATCAAAATATGAATAAAGAGAAAAATGACTAAAACACAACCAAGAATGATCAACATTAACAAAATTTTATTTAAATGTTATACACAAAACTTTTTTCCCCATTTTCTTTTTTCAATTCAGCTAAACAAATATTTATATACTGTATGTTTTATAAAAAAAGGAAACACTTGAAACAGTTTTTTAAATATTTATAATTCTTATTTACAATTTAAAACAGTAGATAATAACTGTAACAATGCAATTTCAATTATAAAAATGTTACAAAACATATTTTTATGTTCCCATTTGAAAATTGGCATGTTGACTATTTTTTCTTGTTTTTTTTTTTTTTTTCCAGAATGTTATCAAGGGTACAAAGTAGCAAAGAGGAGCTGCTCTACATTCAAATGAGAACTGGAGGTGCATTCTCTTCATTTGATTCTTAAGACCTGCATTTAAATCCCTTTTATTTGTCACATTAGTCCTCTTTAGATAGCTCGAAATATGTTGATATTTCATAAACAAATATATTTAAAAAAGAAGTGTCATAAAAATGCACCAGAAAAGCTACATTTTATGTGAACGGCTGAACGCACCTCCACCTCAGTAAGGTCACGGTTCTGTAAAAAGGTCGGGGTTTTGGACAGAAGGCGCATGTCGTGGGCTTGTGTGCGAGTGCGGCAGTCAGTATTTTGATTAATCAGCTGACAGGGCAGGCGAATCTACACCTCKAGAACTGGAGCATCTACAACCAAAACAAACAGTCCAGGAGCCTGGCCTCTATATGTAGACAGTCTAAAACTCAACAACATGACAACAGACTACCACAACCACGGTCTACACACTTCTTTTCTTCTGTTTTCTACACACGCCAGTCACAGTTCCACTAATCTGCCTCTTTGTGCAGCAGGAAATTTAAAAAAAGTACTATCAGAAACCAACAGAGCTCAAGCTGGCACAACAGATTTATGGCAAGTCCTTGTAGGCCATTCAATAGGTGCTGTGTCGCTCCGTTCCTGGCTGTCTCGTGTGAGGAATCTGGAGAAGAGTAAGAATAGAAAAGTGATGTTGGAACGAGAAAATGCAACATAAAGAAAGGATCGAGACTGGCACTAGGGATAGGTGAGGAAAGGAGCTCCTGCAGAACACAAAGAGGTGGGTTGTTAACAAAGTGGGCTGGATTCCTAAAACATGATGGGGTCAAACTAAAATCAGGAAGTAGGTGTTCCAAAATAAGAACATTTGTTAAAGGGATCCACGATAAGTTGTAACATTAGATTTTATTCAATATACATATATTTTAACAGTAAAATAAAGACAGTAAAAATACTGTAGGCTGTTTAGTTTTTATCATTTTTAAACTAAAAGTTTAAAAATATATTACACGAATATTTTATTTACATGCAAAGCATTCTGGGTAAATGATAAAGTGGATAGGTCCTCTATGTGAGACTGCTAGCGAGCTAAATCCTCCCTGAAGGTTAATCTCAGACAATATCTGACTATCGGCTCTTTTAAATGAAACCAGAGAGCGTTGACAGAGAGGAGAAGGTAGAAATGACTCAGCCTGTAACTGAAATGTAGATGGAGGACAACAGAGCTGCTTCATGGAAGAAGAACCTCAGCTTAGCCTGTTAGCTTTAGCCCAGATGCTATCACCATATTTAAGTATTAGCTCAGCGCTACACATTCTCCTCTTGTCACTGAGGTTCTCCATCCACATGACAGAGAGGGGAATGCAAAAATTACTCAGCCTGCAACTGAAAATATGGATGGAGGACCTCAGTTTAGCTTGTTAGTTTGTCGCACTAGCACCGAGCTAACACACATAAGGCAATATAGCGTCGGCTCTAGTGTGAAGGCTAACAGGCTAAGATGAGGTTCTTCTTCCATGAAGCAGCTCTGTTGTCCTCCAGCTATATTTTCAGTTACAGGCTGAGTCATTTCTACCTTCMCCTCTCTGTCAACGCTCTCTGGTTTCATTTAAAAGAGTCGATCYTCAGATATTGTCCAAGATTAACCTTCGGGGTGGATTTAGCTCACTCACACTGAGGACCTATCCACGTCATCATTTACCCAGAATGCTTTGCGTGTACATAAAATGGCTCCATCCATGCTAAAATATTTTTTAAAAATTTACAAAACTAAACAGCCTACATTATTTTTACAGTCTTTATTTTACAGTTAAAATAAATGTTTATCAAATAAACTCTAATGTCACAACTAATCAGYGATTCCCTTTAAGGTTTACTTCTATAAAACGACATTTGTTGTATTTAAGAAAGCTTAATTACAAGTGCCTTTTCTGGTATTTAATTTAGAAAACAATGTAGATGTGTTCTGGTCGTATTTTTATTATACAATTAGATGCTGAAAACATTGAATGTGCAAAAGAGAAAAATATCAAAATCCCATACATCATTTTCTGAAGATTCACTGTCTTTTTTTAATGACATTAACTTGGCATCAATACACCTGTGTTTGTTTACATCAGTCAAACATTTCGCTTTGGAACAACCAACCAACCCACCCATTCAGGGCAGTCCCTTCCACTCTCAGGACAACCCACCCCTTTGTGTACTACTCTGCTTGAGAAATGTGYAATATTATGAAAAGATAAAGTGACAAGCAGGCAGCAAGGTGGCAAAATGCCTTTTATGAAACAACTTGCCATGACATACCAGTTTTAGAAAGAGTGGACAGAAACTGTTAGACAGAGAGGGGGCCCTGAAGGCATGATTTGATTATTTTTTTCAAGCTGCAATGAGAGAAAAGGTCGGAAAAGTAATAAAGATAGGAAAGCAGATTAGACAGAAATTTATGAAAGCACAAAAATCAAGCACAGAAAAAAAAGATGCTTGGGAATGCTGCTAAACCAGGAAAACAAGCAAAATGAAAAAAAAAAAAAAAAACGGAATGGTAATAAAATCTGGACACCTATGGCTCAAGGCTTTGTGAGACCTGTTCGTTCATGATGCCGGACAGCTCGATGAGCATGTCCCGGTAGTGAGCTCTCATCTCCTCCTGGTACTCCAGCTGGTCCTCCTTAATGAGACGCTCATTTACGTCCAAAGCTTGACCGCAGGCTTCTGCAAACCGTCTGCAGAGGAGAATTCAGCTTAGACTAACAGCACTAAAAGTAAACGCGTAAAACCATTCAACAAGCTATCCATGACAGGTAAGACACTGATAGTTCATAACCCTTCAAAAGCTCTGAACCACTGCTTTAATCATCTGGGTAATATATGCATAAAGTCTGCACATGGATTTGGTTCAATATTTTAATTATTGTGCCTATAGAAGTTTCTATTGACCACCATTTACCTGAAGATCTCCTTAAGAAGTTTGACCTGGTTGTCTGGGTATTTCTTGGCATTCTTCTCCTCTAAAAATGCTCTGGCATAAGCCATAGGCCCTGCATTTACCTGGACAGAGACAATCAGCCGATATAAACCCCAAGCATCAGGAAAATGCATTTGCACTCCGGACAAACGTCCCCGCACCTTGACGCTAACGCTGCCCTGCAGTTTCAGCTGCAGCCGGATCATGTCCACCTCCTCCATGTTGCAGAGCTGGTTGAGCTCGGAGACTTTGCGCGACATCTCGTCTATGGCTACTTCGATCGGGTTCATTTCTGTGCTCTGCTGCTCCACCACCTGGATACGCTTTTTCAGATAGGGGAAGCTGGAACTCGCTAAAAAATAATTTAAAAAAAGAGGGAGAAACAAAGATCTGCTGGTCAGAAAAATCTTGGTGTAATTTTTGATAGTTGTTTGAAATTGGAGAAGCAGGTGAGCTCTGTTGTGAAATCAAGCTTTTTTCACCTGCGGCTTCTAGCAAAAGTAAAATCTAGTTTTTGTTTCAAAGATTTCGAGAAACTACACGCTTAGGTTACTGTAACTCTTTATACAAAACCTTGGACAGATCTTCTTCACGATGTCTTAACATGGTTCAGAATGCTGCAGCTCAACTCCTAACTGGAACCAAGAAACATGATCATATAACTCCTGTACTGGCTTCTCTGCATTGGCTGCCAGTTTCCTATCACAACGAATTCAAAAATCTTTTATTGGTTTTTAAAGCAATAAATGGTTTGGCCCCGGCCTATCTTAAGCATCTTCTACATGACTATTTTTCTTCTAGATCACTTTGGTCAAATAATAAACTGCTTCTACARGTTCCCAGAAGCAGACTGAAAAGCAGACACCAGGCATTTGCTGTCACTGCTCCTAATTTGTGGAACAGCTTACCATTCATTATTAGATCTGCCCATAATCTGGAACCCTTCAAATCTCTTCTGAAAACTCATTTTTACTCTCTGGCATTTTTATGTGTTTACATTGAATTCTATGTGTCTTGTCTATTTAATTTATTGTTTTTACTTCAATATGTTTTTATCAGTGGTTTTATGATAGCTTTACAGCACTTTGGTGCAGTTGGTTYCTGTGTTGTAAAAAGTACCACAAAGTGATACTTGAGTAAAAGTACAAGCATCTTACCAAAAAAATTACTTTGGTAAAAGTTAAAGTCTCCTTTAGGAATATTACTTGAGTYAAAGTCTTAAAGTATCAGATATTTTTTGTACTTAAGTATTAAAAGTAAAAAAAATGATTCAAAATGAGCAGTTAGATTTTCTGTAATGACATTTAGTAACAAGCTGGAATGAATTAAAAGTAACAACTTTTTACTTCTTGCCTTTTTTAAAAATGTAATAAGTAGAAAGCAAAGATAATTGTGTGAAAATGTACGAAGTAGAAGTAAAAAATACGCTGAAAAATAATTACTCAAGTAAAGTACAGATAGCCAAAAATTCTACTTAAGTACAGTAACAAAGTATTTGTACTTAGTTACTTTACAAKTCTGGTTGGATGTGTTTTTTTAAGTGCTCTACAAATAAAGTTGGCATTGACAAACTTTGAACTATGGAACAATTTTTTTGCAAATCTACGCATCAGCAGAAACCATTTTATAAAGCAAGATTTAATTAGAAAGAAAAACGGGGAGCCTAATTTCAGGTGTTTTAGAATTGGATTAATAATTTGTGTACAATAAGACCTGAACTGAGACTCACTGGTCAGTATGGTGCGCCTCTTGCATTGTTCCTCCACATCTCCGTGTTTCTTCCCCGACAGAGTGAACGGTGTCTCAAACACAAAGCGGTTGATGTTGTGGTGCCTCTCGAAATCTGTTCTCTTTTCCTGCTGCTCCTTCTCGTCAAAGTAGGGCACTACATATGTCACCTGAATGTAGGCAAACTTGGCGTCCAGATCTTTGGGATTCACCTGCATTTAAATAAAGTTAAGCACAAACATAAACAAAAACAGATTCGAGATTAGGAAAAGCATCCGCGCTAGCAAGTCCTTTTCTGTTTGCATGATGAAATGAATCACCTTGTTGGAGTCCTGAATCATCTTGACATTATCAGCTCCAAACTTGTCAGAGTAAAGTTTGAGTAGTCTCTGGGAGATTTCTGACAAACCCGTGAGCTTCGGCTCTTTGTAGATGAACTCTTTGCTCTCCTCTTCCTCAAAGAAACCCTAAGAAACACACACACTTACGCATTAGCAAAGCCTGTTCCAATGCATGGGTCTGCAATGCAAAGATAACTAGATCACATTGCTTTTATCGTTCTGATTTATGTTGCCGTGAGTGGTGCAAAAAACATTTTTTGGTTAGAGTACTTCACTCAGCACTAACAGGGCAGGTCATGTTAAGTTTTGGATGTGAGCATGTGGACGTATTTAAAGGAACACCACACTCAAATGTCACAGGTATAAATGAGGTTTATTAAATGGCATCTTCTTTTTTTTTTTTGACATCAGATTTTTCGTAATGTTTAGGGAGACAGGAAACGACTGCATCGTTGAAAATTACTGGAGGTATAATGGACCACAGCAAGCTTCACACAACCTTTCAGTGGGTAAGAGATGTTATTATAGGTAAAAGGAGGAGGAGAGAGGTAAAAGTGGTTAGCACCGAAGAAGATGAAAAGTCAAGAGCTTCAAAAACTTACCGCAATCTTGGTTTAGAATATATATTAAAAAAAGAAAAGAAAGGAAAGAGCAGACAGAGAAATTAAGGATGCCGACTCATGATCAGCCATCTAGACCCCTTCTTAACTTTTAAAATGTTCACAGAGAGAAGAAGAATCTTATACATTTCACTTCTTGAGTCCAAACTGAGCATTGCCTGGGTTTAGAGCAAACCAAAGCAAAARGTCGGTTACCCAGGCTTTTATTTTGAAAATTAGGTCACCTTTGCTGATTTTAAATCTGTTTATAAATCTCATAATCGGCATATAAAAGTTTTTTTTAAAGACTGTTTGTAGAGCGGTTGTGTGCATTTCTTGTGCAGTTGTCGCTCACCTGTCCATAGAACGCCACGCGGTAGTAGCGTCCAAAGAGTCGCTTTTCAGAGTTCACTACCTCCGTCACCTTCAGGTAGGAGCGATGGATGTCATAGTACAGCTCTGACAGCCTCTGCGGGCACAGAGAAGCACACGCTGGAGTGTTAAGTTTGTGTTTTTGTGCTTGCTTGTACATAAGAGGAGGAAGAAAATAAAGCCGATGGACAAGACACCTTAAAATCCCTCCTCTTCTCAAAAACAGCAATCACGGGTTTGTTGATGTCGGCGATGAGCTCGTGCCTCTCAGATTTCCACAGGTAGTCCACACACAGCTCCAGCTGCTCCACCAGGGTGTCCTGAACACGGCGTTCACCCAGTTATTTCCAGACTCCTCTCAGGCTAAAAACCTGCTAAGGGTTCAGTGTTACTCATACGCAATCTGACCTCGGTGTACGGTGTGTCTTGTGTACCGGTGTCCTCCTTCATGGCGCCCTCCTCCTTAACGTTGGGGCTGATGCACATAAATGCTGCCCAGCCCATAGAGAAGGATGCTGCCATTCCAAATAGGTAAAAATGTWATCAGAATAAGACATTTAAAAAATTACCGCAAACAGTCTCAAAAACATTCTGGTGGGAGATTTAACGGGTAACATTTATATACCTTTTTTTTTAAATGGGAATCGTGCAATGTATCTTACGTCTACACATTATTAAGAGGTTTTAAAAGCACATAAGTGCACAGGTTTTCCTGAGCCCCCACCACCCAGCAGGCCCCAGGCGCACACACTCACTGTCTTGATCTCGGGAGGAGGTTAGTAAGGAGCTACAGTTAAACACGGGGCCTTCTTCAGGGGACACACCAGACATCCCGGCCTTGTCGGCTCTCCAGTAGCCTGTTTGATTGGAGGGGAYGAGGAGCAGCAGGGTTAAATGTCTATTCGTGTGGTTTATTTTTAATTTTTTTTTAATGCTCAAGGACAAGGCTCACAAATCAGTTGAGGRATTGGCATGTTATGCAAGCTGCTGGATCACAGGCTCCGTGAGTAAAGCACATGCAAATGAGTTTCAGGCACAAAGAGCAGACACATGCACACAGGATCAAACCAACAGACACTATGGATGGGAGGAACAGAAAAAAATACAAAGATATTCATCTCTTTTTCTACTTGAAATGCTATTTAGGTGGAAGGATCTTTAGTAACTGGCAGTATGAGAATGCTAAATGGTCTGAACTTATATAGTGTTCCAATGACTGGAACAAAGAATTTAACCGACAACGGTTTACAGGATGACTTCCCTAAACACTCTGCCACAGCTTCCCCAATACAAACACTAGGCGAATTTATCTCACTATCTAACTGATTAGRTTCCAAGAAAGTCTCACAAAACAAAGACCCTCTCAGGTTGTTTTCAATCAAATAAACATATGAAGGATTGACGCCTAAAAGTTTATTGTGACAGAAATGAAGAAACGTTTAATGAGTGAGGAAAAAAAGATCACATCTGCAGAGATGCACAGCAGGTTCACATAAAACAAAAGTTCTGGTCCAGCTATGAGGGAAAAAAAAGAAAACAAACAAACCATGCTGCAAAAAATGTAAAGTCTTTAAAAAGTCTGGTCATTTTTGAAGTGTAGTTATGGGAGTATGAAGAAAAGGGCAAAAGTCCTTGTCCAGGCTAAGCTTTTAGCTAGCTATATTGTTTTTCATATTTATAAAACAACTCTTCCTCATAAAAAGTAAAACAAAAAAAAGGAAAAATAAAATGGCAAACCAATGTGAAAGAACACTGCATTAATTAATGTTAAACTTCTATACTTTTGCATTATTCTGTTTGTTTCATTCGTGGTTGTTGTCTCATTGTCTGCAACTTTTCTCCATACTCTGTGCTCTACGACTGATAAATGCTGATAAATATCTGACWGGACATCACTTTAAAAAAAGACCAGATCATTCCTTTAAAGTGTAAGCAGAAGAAAGTGGGAGCTCACCTCTCCTCTTCAACGACTCGGCAATCAAAGCTGAGATGTGGATGTAGCACATGGCAGCCTAAAGAAACAGCAGATGTGATGCTTTCAGACAAAATTCTCATCTCCTTTCAAACATTTATGAGGTTATMCAGATTAAGAAATGCAACATGCGTGACCTCAGACAAGTCGCCGTTGCGGACGTGAACTTTGGCCATGCTCTCCAGCCAGGTGCGCCTCAACTCAGGAGTGCTGGCGTAGGAATTGGCCAGGCTGTACTGCAGGTCCACCAACATCTCTGGATCTTTCTCGTGCTCCTTCATCTGAGCCGTGGCCATCAGGACTGTTCTGATCCGCTTGGTCAGGTCCTTCACCTCAGCAGGGAACGGGGTGTTCTATAGAKAGGGTGTTTAGGAGATCCCTTATATTAACCCGAGGGACACTCCCACTTATTAGGACTCTAAAACCTCCCGTACCTTGAGCGGTGCGTCTCCATTGGCAAAGTTATTGATGATGGCCAACGACTGTTGGAACCTCGACCCTCCAATTCCAGCATCAGCAATCAGTTGGCTCACAGCTTTGATGACCTGCAGTGGAAGTAAAGGCTCAGCTGCCAGRGTGATGCTCGTGTATTAATCTGAATTAGGTCTCACTGACCTGCAGATGGGAGCGGACTATTGATTTGCCCTTTGTAAACTCAAAGTTTTGCCTCATGAAGAAGTACAGTAGTGCAGCTGCCTCCGTCTGGGTGGAGCTGGATCGATGGTTACAGCATTTGAGGATCTCGTGGCACAGACAGCCACACAGGTCTGCCTTTCCCTGGAAGAACGCACTGGGAAACTGAAGAGCGAGAGGAAGGTTAAATAAAAATGTAACAGATTAGAAAGGTTCTTCTGCAAAATGTTTAAATGAGGTCTGCTGGACCTTTTGTACGAAGAGCCTAAGCGCAGCGAAGACGTGTCGTAAAGTCGCAGTGGACTGGTTGATTTGAAAGAAGAGTAAGTAGGTGTCCAGCACCTTTTTCATCAGTGTGTTCTGACCATCATCCTGCAGCAACTGCTTCTACACAAATGAATAATAGAGAGAAAAATAATGTGAAAAAAACATGAAAGTTTCAATTGAAAACAGAAAAAATATGGTTTATAGTAAAATAAATAGTTCAATACTGATACAACTCAATAGACTTAAATAAGCAACAGGGCATTCTGGGAATATACTTTTTGTTGATTGAACTTGCTGTTTTCTGCTTTAAAATTTGCAAAACAGGAATATAACTTGTTTCAGTCAAATATTTCAGTTCAAAAGCATAACATTTTATTGTTTCATTTTATTATTTTTAAGAAAATCTGGATAGCTATCTTACAGAGTAGTCTTCTCTGTTAGTGTTTAAACATTTAACTAGCCACCAGGTGGCAGTAGAGCATCAGTTAGCTCATTTTTGGGTTTAATGTTAGACATTAAACGCAATCTTCTGTTTTCAGCAAAAACGTTTTTACTGCACACTTTTTATTTATTTATTTATTTATTTATTTATTTATTTATTTATTTATTTGCATAGAACAGAGTTACTCTTATGCCATTTTTATGACAAAAAATACTGTGCCTGCCTAAAGGTGGGGGTGAGCTTTTGGAAAATGATCAAAGGTCATGAGGGACCATGACACATCATTGCTCATTAGATGAATTAAAATGGTTTTCTTTTACCAAACAAAATAATAAGAAATTTACCTAAACTAACTGTGTGCCATTAATTTCAGTTTTGGTTCTGTAGCATAAAACAGTGACTGACCTTATGATGGTGAACAAAGAGTTCCAGTACATCCAGCACAGTGAGAGACACTTCTGTGGACAAGTTGGCTTCGATATCTGTGGGACTCAGCGTGTCCCCATCCTGAACGCTCCCGTCTGGAAACAAAAAATTAGATATGATTCATTAAACCTACCAAGTGTATAGAATAAAAATAATAGCTGCATCGTAATGACGTCACATGATGTGTTACCGGTTTCCATCATCTGCAGCAGCTTTGGATTCATGAGGGCGTTCTTGCCCCGGATGATGGGCATGGTTTGGGAGCGAGCCTGTCGGTGGCCTTCACCTCCAGAGGTCATCCTGGAGACAACAGCAGCACACGCTTAACATAACATTATTGAGCTTTTACTAGAGCAGTTGTTGCATTGAACTTTGAAATAAAACTTTGAAATACAGAAGCAAAGTACATTAACACAAAACAACACCAAACCATTAAAACATGCTGGGTACACATTTACATTCTGTGACATGGAAAACACAATGAATAAATGAATTCATCTGGTTGTATCTAAGTACACTGACACTGTAGGTTTCATCTGAGACTTATTGGTGTTAAAGCCAATCAAAAACATTAGGAATAGAAGCATCCTTGGTTTAACTCTGTCATCATGGCTGAGGTGGAAGGTGGTTACCATTGGGAGAAGATGCTTGAGGGTTGAGAGGACTGGGTAGGGTTGTTAGAGGCCTTCAGGGTGCCATTGGCATGGGTTGACTGGGCCAGCTTTACCGCCGCTGCTAGCTTCCTGTTCACAAGCCAACCACATCAAAGCTAACGTTAGTTTGGTCAAGGCAAATTATCATTTTAGTGTCCTTCATTATCAGTGAGCGATCCTGTTAGCTGCATGCTATTAGATGTTGGAGCATGCCAGTAATCAATAATAAAAAAAAACAATAATAAAATTAAAAAACCTTAATGTAAACACTTTGCAGGGCACAACTATTTTTGCACTTTTAATGTTTTAAATATTAATGGCAGCTGCCTTACAATGTTTGCTATCAAGGCTAAATGAAATGCTGAAAGCATTCAAGATCTCAAATGTGAACTTGGGGTGATGAGAGCAGCTGCAGTCAGAATAAAGATCAGCTTGAAGAGTGATGGAGGTCAGCCAGATGGAAATGCTACTGGCGTAGCAGAGTCGATAGTTTTAGCTTTGCTTCAAGTATGTTTTGTAAAAAAATAACTAAATGTTAAAGTAGCTGCAGTGTGTTGGTGGAGAGCAAAAGCTTTGGGTTCACGTAATGCAACAATGAAAGATGCAGAAATTAAAATATATTAATGTGATGAGGCAGAATGTTAAAATCAATTTCAATAATCACAAAATATATCATGCTAATGTGTTACAAACAGGACAAAAGAAAGTGGAGTCCAGCTGATCACAAAGCAGGGTAGGAGTTATTTGCAAACGACGAGAAAAAAAAGAACATGTTTACATCTTCATTGACATTTTGTGTAAACACGAAACGAGTTGATGCGACAGGAAACAACTGCATGCGATGTGGCAGATCAATAATTGTGCAGTCATATACAAAGTCCATCAACAGCAGCAGCATGCACAAAGAGGGTGAGAGATGGCACAGACCACGATGGAAACTACACCACAACCACAATGTTGCACATGGAGAAAACATTCTGTACATTTTTGTGCACCCCACTGTGAGTCATAAAGCACAAACTTTGAATTGATTTCAGTTTAAAAGTAATAATAACGTATTTTTACCTCATTAGTTTCAAAATACAAAAAGGCATAGATATATGTGGATAGATGTGTGTTTGTCTGTAGAGTGAGCAATAAATCTCATGAACCACTGGCCAGATTTAAATGAAACTCGGAAAGTAACCATTTGAAGTCCTGTTTAAATTTTGAAGCCAACCAAATTCAAGATGGCTGCCACAGCTAGGTGTGGTAGTAGCTGAGAGTAATCATCAACACATACTCTTAAAATATTACATACGCTGACAGTACCATCATTTACAGAGTTTGACCAAAACTGCTATAAATCCAGTTCTGCACAGCATAAAATCATCTTAGCTTAAAACTCCAGCATGAAAGGTGGTGGGTGATATGCATTCCTTCAAGAAATGCTAGCTTTGTGTTTCTTCGCGCATATGCTTCTGCAAAAAAATATTATTTGTAAGCAACTCTGCACAGATTTTAAAGCACAACCACTAACAGACATATCAGTTAAATGTCCTTTCAAGCTTGCTGTCTAGCTGCACGCTGCTGATGTAATTCATCACCGCTGACCTACAATGGGTGCACACACTGACTGAGACGCAAACAAAAGCGTAAGAAGGTGAATCCACCCTTGACTCGGAATTACAGATGCATGCTAAGTAGCTGGTAGTACCAGACATGCTCAGCTACAACCGTGAAGCCTTCCAGATTCTTTTTATTCAGCTAATTCTTCCACGCACAGGAAAGCCGAGTGCTCATTCAGCTTTCGGTTGGCTTACGTCTCCGTATCCTTTCGCTAAAATGGGAAAGAAAAAGCTAATTGAATTAGCTGCGAGGAACCAGAAGACGGAGGAGTCTAGCAGCGCCGGTGGCTCTGCTCCAGTAAGAGCAGACAGATGAGAACAACCCCCATCTGGTCCTCGCCAACTCCTACAGTACAAAATCCAGCAGTGATTCCTTCTCAACAGTCGTCCCCCCCGTCTCTCCCCACTTTATTCACCTCTCAAAGCTCATCCCTGAGCYTGCACACGCATCAGGAGCACATATTAGTATTTCTGCACGACTGTGTCGGATTCGTTTATTTTTACGCGCTCATATGTGGGTGCGTTGACGCTTGTGTGCAGCCATGCGTGAGCACGATTATATGAATTATGGATCAGGGTGTGGGGGTGTTCTAACTCCTGGCTGCAGTATGTATACAGAATTAATACGCTGCTGCCATGTCGGCAGCGGCAGAGCGAAGGCTGGCGAACCACACCTGCTGCGCGTTATCTGGCAAACAAAAACGAAAGCAAACAGACTCACCTCGCTATGTGGCGTTTTCCGAGGAACCTGAAGTGTTGAAGACAAAGCCTGAAGAGCGGGGGAAAAGGGTGATTTACAAAAAAAAATACGCCGAGTAGAAGTTGTTTTGTTTCATCTGTGTTTTATAAGAAAATAAATGAATTGTATAGAATTGAACTGAGGCAGCCACAAACAGAAAATAGAAAAAGTTCATTTAAAGCGCTCCTCGGTGGATTGGGGGATCCGACTAGAATTACAGTCTGTTTTTCTTCTGCTTGGCCATTATTTTCATCTGTTCCCTTTTGGCAGCACTTTCGATTTTTCTCATTTACTTGTCTTNCCCTTCTGCCTGTGAGCTACTTCTGATCAGCCAAACTGGACCCGTGGTGATACTCCTTCCACAAAAAGAAAGAAGAGCTCTTACTCCAGTATGTTAAAGAAGTCTGCGATCTCCTGGTGAATGGCACGGTGCCAGTAGGATACCAGCACATCTGGAAACGATAAACAAACGTGATCACGTTGTACGCTGCAGCAAACCAGGTGATGGAAAAAAAATATTACTTTTTATAGAATCAGACTTTTTGCACTGAGGTGGTGCAGAAGTAATTYAGATGGACGCTTGTTTGTTTTTTTATGTRAGCAATCGGCCACTTCTTACCTTCAGAAATGGTTTTCATGATGTGCAAAAAACACATGAGGAGACTGCGGGTCTCTGCCTGGTCCAACTTGTCGCAGCGGGAACCGTAGCCAATCAGAGACTGGGGACGGGCGAACTGAAAACAGACATCAAGACAGAACCAGACAGAAAGAATCAGCTGCCAGATTGATGTTAATAGTTGTTGTTAATCAGTATCTGTTAACTGAACTGTGCAAAACTTTAAACCACCACTAATATCTTCATACTTTGTTTTCAAGGAGTCAAACTTTCTTTTATAATTTTTTATACTGATAATGATCAATAGCTCCTCAGGCTATTGGAAAGTCTTCCCTCTGTTTGTCTCTGACTATTACAACAAGTTGTGCAATGCGTGCTTAAAAATATGGATCAATTGGAGGACAAAAGAAACATGTCAGGCATAAATAAACACTCTCACACACAATTAAGAGTGCCTGAAAGTCGCGTCTAAACAAAAAATCATCCACTGCATGTCAAGTTTTCCACTAATAGCTCTTTGAGAATTACTTTGTTGGATCTAAAATACTATTTCATGTATCAACCTATGTCATCCTTGTTATTTTTCATAGATGCAGGTTTAAAAATGGGAATAAGTTGTGTCTTTATGGCAGGCTTTTGCCACAAAGTGRTTAAAAATCCTATTTTAATGTGGGGGTTTTTTTGCTAAATTTTCTGAATTGTGTCTTGTACATTTATAGCAGGAAATAGAATGTCTCATTTCCTGTGATAAGTGATGACCTGTGATAAGTGATGACAGACAAAATAAGAATTCTTCTGAAAATGGTCAGATACTGAAATAAACGGCAAGAGTTGAATAATTTCCTCTTTTTAAAGAGCTTCAGAATGTCTAAAAAAAACTATTGAGCAACAACACTTTTTTATATTTAAACAAAGATTTGGCTCCTTGGAAGCAAAACGTGAAAAAAAAGAGTGATTACACAAGACTTTTGAGCAGTYGTGGATGTGAAATTATAAACAGTCAAACAACAAAAGTTGCATTTTAGCAGCATTTTAGAGTATAAAATAATGGTTGGTTTAAATCCAGCATCTTTCTTAAAGCTAATAATATACCTATCAGTGGTCGGTGGGTACAACATATTTTAGCTTTAAAAAAATCATGTTTTTCCCCTATTTTTAAATTAATTTTTAATTTTTTAGCATTGTTTTGTAAATTATGTTTCATTTGAATACATTCTGGGGATAAAAGGGGCAGACAATAAGATTTCTTCTTCTTCTGCTACTTTTCATTTTATTTAGATTTGCGTATTTTCTTGGGTTTTTTTATCGAATGGTTATTTTTTTAATGAAATGAATAAAATGTTTGAATTGGATTGAATTTAATATTTTGCCAGCGATCACGTGGAATGTGTGGAAATTCTGGATATCTTCACCTTTCTTATAATTTTTGTTTTTCCCCCAACTTTCCCCTTTCTTACCTTCTCACACCCATCCATCTTCTCACTGTTCCTGTCACTGTTGCTCGGGTTGGAGTCKACGCTGATCAGAGAACCTCGAGAGTCCGCCTGGTTACCCGTGGCAACCGCCAAGGATGAAAAGGCTGGTGCAGAGTGGGGGGGGGGGGGGGGGGTATCATCAACGTTTCTACAGTACAAAGACTCCCAGAATAGACGTGTGCACGTGGTACGGTGCTACCTGTGATAGAGTTGAGCACTTCTTTGGAAAAGGAGGCGTCCATGGAGTTTCCGTGGCGAGTAACAGCCCCTCCCCCTCCCACGCTGACGTCGTCTCGAGAGCCCTGTGTGGAGTGGAGTGAGGGAGACACAGAAAAGGAAAGACTTCTCTTGAGTATTTGATAATGTTCTAACCTTTCTAAGTTGTTTATGCTGCTCAATAAGCTACTACGATTTTTATAAACATAAAACTCATCGATTTTGCCAAATTTTCTGGAGTAATTTTTGCAGCAAATCCTATAAACATGGAACAATAACGTCAAAATAAAACAAATGCAATCCACCACAAACTGATCGAGCAGAACTCCCTTCATGGGTTCACAGCTGTTTTGCTACAATAACATGCCTGAAGACTGCAATCCTAATTTGCAGGAAATTACAAATTCAGCTTTTCAGTTTACTTGGTCACTAGAAGTGAAGTAGATGGGGAAAAGGTCCCTGAGGAAGAAGCGTGGCATGTTGTCCAGGATCAGCCCYTACAGAGGCAGGTAGAGGGACGCTATCCTCGCCTGCTTCTCCTGGAAACACATCGGGTGAAATACAAGTCACATTATGAGCCTTTAACGCAGAGTCACCAACCTGACAAATAGTGCCTGTTTTAACAGTCATAATAAGTAGTGCACACATAAGATGGTTTATTTTTCCTCAGAAGAACATGACTTCATATAGCAAAACAAATCAAGACTGTGATATTTTAAATTTAGTGATTATCAGTGGTGGGCAAAGTTCCCCTAAAGCACTGAAGCATTGATAGTGGAACTAATTTCCTGATTAGTGCTTTGGGGCTTTTGCTAATTTTAAAATTTATTAGTGGATTAGCACTTGCTAAATTTATAGGCTAAATTTAGAAGCACTAACTGAGGTCTATAAATGTTATTGATCAACGTTAAAGTTAACAGCTGTCGATGAAATCTGTCACACATTTTGTTTATTTATGTGTCACTTATCCACCAGGTGACATCTTGGCAATATATGAACCTAAATAAGGCTGTGGAATGTCAATGATAAGTCTTAAGAGAGCAACATGTGACTCATGTTGTCTATTGAATAATGTTCATGGGCTGACTGGGTTGTTTTAGCGCTTTAGAATTAGCTTTTGCTAAAATTTTCAGTGTGTTAGTGCTTTAGAATTAGGGGACCTAAATATATGAGTTAGTGCTTTAGGGCTAGTGGAACTAATTTTTAGATTAGTGCTGCCRACCACTGGTGATTATAAATGATTCAACGTGTTATAATAAATTTTGTATTTCATATGCAATAAATACAACATAATGTATAATCTAAGCCTTAATTAAAACATTTTCTTCCATTGCAGTTTATTTTCTCATGATTTTGACTCCAATTTGAACAGACGTGACTACAGTCCTACTGTGGTTTCCAGTGTTTATTCAAGAMCAGATTTCAGACTTGATCTAATCTCCGTACTTCCCAGTATTCATTAGAACACCATCACAATGTTGCTTGCAGCTGCTGTGATCAATCACATGTGAGTGTGTGTATGTGTGTGTGTGTGTGTGTGTGTGTGTGTGTATGTTTGTATGGATGAGTCATAATGGAAGGGTTTCTGCTGTGTGCTAATGACTAATTTTTCCAGATTAGCTACCTTGGTGGCATAGCGTGAATCCAGAGAGTGTTTGGCCATTAGAGTCTTTAGCGTGGCCAAGGCGAGATGCCTCAGGTCCTGCTCGTCCTGGAGAGCCAGGCCCAGCTCCCGAAGCAACAGGCCAGTCAGGAAGTGCTTCCTGCAGAACTCTCCGGTKAGGTTGTACTCAGGCACAGAGGCTACAGAGAGACGGTGCATGGGTTTTAACCAAGTTGCACATAAATAAGAGCTCAGTCGCACCAATAATCTGTTTCAGGTGAATCTGGTCACAGTAACCAAATAATGAGACAAACGAGAAAAAAAAATAAAAATAAAAAAATAAAACGAGTATTTACCAGGTGTGCTTTGTGGTTCTGGGGAGGCATGATCTGACATGGACAAATTAAATGAGGAAAAAAATTTWAAAAAAAGACAGAGAAAGGAAAAAATAAATAAAAAGTCTGACTGAGGGTTAATAAATGGATGAGAGTATGAACTACTTCGTGAATGCTAGTAACACATAAACACTGGTGGCAGAGAGCTACAGTGTAACATAAGTCTCCCCACCTGTGATTCGAGCAGAAGGTAAGGGCAGGCTGAGAGGGATGTAATGCTCATGGTTGCACACTTCTCTCAGGAACTCAAATTTCAGCTCACAGAGGACCTAATAAACAAACAAGTAAAAAAAACATATGCATAACTTATAAAATATGTTTATCTTTAAGTGGCTGAAACATACAAGTTTTTTCTTTACATTTAAAAAAATTACTGGCACATTTTATTTACCTTGCTGTCTGTAGCTGTGATCATGTTAATGTAGTTGCTAATGAGTTTGAATGTGAAGCCTCTGTCCATCAGAGTGAAGCAGCGCTGCAAAGAGACAGAGTCAAATCAGAGATCTAACCTCCGGTAAGAGACAATATCATTTCATACGTACTTTGACAAAAGCAGCCACAGCAAAGTTGGCGCTGCGTGTTTCCTCTGCCAGCTCTTTGTACTTCCAGAAAATGTGCTCGGACACCGTCTCCACCAACGTCTCCACGCGGCTCAGGTAGGAAGAGGGGAAACGCTGGGGCCTCAGCAGCTGGAGAGCAACGGAAAACATCTTAACGCACGTCAATCTTACTGAACCAAGTATGAATAATGAAAACATGTTTTTTTTAATCTGAAGAAAAGTGGGCCAGATGTGCCAAACACGAAAAGGAACCCCTTACCTTGACCTTGTCAGAGTCAACCAAGTGCTGGGCCATGGACTTGACAATGAGCTCAAAAAAGAACCAGGAGAACTGAAGCCAGACAAAAATACTCACTTTTACTCTTATTTACTCACAGTTAAAAYTTACACAGTTGGCAGATGTTTGTTTTTTCCCAAGCTAGAATAACTAATACATCATTCTGATTTAAGTAAAATGATTTGTACTGATTGATGGACAGTAGGTCAAGACAAACCTTGAGAACATTCCTGACTGCTGTGTGCTCATTGCTCTTCAGGTCAAAGGTCATTCCCTTGGCCAGCTCTTCGTGAACCGTCCTGAAGCCATGAGCTTCTGACTTAAAAACAAACTACYAAGATAAAAAAACAAGTCAAGCGAGGCTTTTATTATAAAAAGCATGCAATAAGATTAAAAGCTGCAGAATTAAAGGACATCTTTTCTTCAAGGTAGAGTCCGTTAATAAAACAGATATTGTGTGGTTGTTGCCACCCAGCAGTGCTCCGGTTCTTCCAATTCCAGTTCCTCCCATTATTGAAATAATGATGAGGGAATATAGCACATGCAAAAACACACATTCACCCACCCACACACAACACACACAAGTTTGCACTTGTATCTCCACGGGGACTTTAAAATGACTTTTATTCATTTACCAATCATTTCTACAAACACCCCAGTACATATCTGACCCTAAACCTAACCTCAATCCACACCTTAGTTCTAAACCTAACTCCTGACCCACCTACAGTATTTCCCCCCAATGGGGACTGGGCTTTCGACACCCATATGGAACAGTGGACCCTCACCAGGCTGTGTGTACAGAGAAAATGGTCAAAAATGGTCCCCACCAGGACACAAAAGCATATACACGTACACACTCAACAGTTAAAATTGAACACCACCGGTACTGAGCATCATGCCACGTCTGTTGCCATAGCAACCCTGGTTTAATCAGCGGCGCTGGTCATCTCCTCTCCCCTCCCAGCACTCATCTCTGTCGTTGCCTCTTCAGACTCTGCAGTTCTCTGGCTCTGTGGCCAACATCAAATGGATCTGGTGGTTTCTCCTGCTCTCTGTTCTAATCCTCTCACTAATTTTTTTCCCCCCTCATAAACAAACGTGCCTTGTGTTTCTGATTTGCAGAGGGCTGGTATGCCGTCTCTTTTTTCCCCCTTCTCATCGCTCTTATTGTGTCCGTGTGTGTGTTTGCACAGCGCTCTGGGCACGTGGCCCTTCCATACTCTTGCTTGCACATCACATTCACAAAAACATTGAGATTTCTCACTGGTGCTTTTTTGTTTGTTTGTTTGTTTACTTGCACAAATTAAATTCCCTGTAAATATCTAGCAAAAGGAGAGTTTTTAAAACTTGTTTGACATTTATAAGTACGACAAAGTCACTTCACTGCTAAAGTTGCTACACATGCAGCTGCTGTTTCCAGCGTACCTTGATATAAGAGTGAAGGTGCTGATCCAGATTTTCTTCATGGCACTTGCTGACAACATGGATTAGAACTCTGCAGGGACGGAATAACAGCAACATGAAGTTTTACTCATCGAAAACATTAATGGTAACCTTTAACACACACAAAAACATCCCCAAGCTACAAATTATGAGGGGTTTATTATGAGAAGATCTGTAGTACCACTGATTACCTGGTGGTGGCAGTAGTGACCTCATCATTGTCATTCTGAGTCAGAACCTTGAACAGCTGGTTGAAGAGCACCGGCAGGAAGCGGACAATCACTGGGATTCTCTCCATACTGAGGAGACCCTGGGAAAAAAAAGGAATAGAAACACGGAGAAGGAAAAAGTGGACATAAAATCAAATTCAAAAGAAGCTGAAACAATGTAATACAGCGCTGCATGATTTAGATGTGTAACATTTGTTTGCTGAGGTTCTGTTTTCTTTCCAAGTCAGAATTACTGAGATTTTAAAAAGGTTTGAGTGTCTTTTTATTTTCTTCTTTCAGACCTTCAGGCAGTTGAGAAAGTTGGAGGTAGGAGGCTGAGAGAGGTCGAGCTCTCTCTTCTGGCACTGCTGGAAGAATCGGTTCAGGTGGGGGTCCTGGCAAAGACAGACAAATTCTTAAAGATCAGCAGCTGAAATATTGCTTAGTGAACTAAATCTTCTTAACGTGACATTTAATGCAGGAATGTGAAATTCAGTACGTTACAGTGATGTTTTAGGCAAACTTGACTTGAGAGTTACAGTGTTTGAGATGAAACCACTGCTTGAAACAGTTTAATTGAACAGATAATTTTGCTGTTTATCATATGATGTTGGAAAAAAAATATTTAAAAGGCATGAATGCCTTAAACCAAAGGTGCCCAAAGTGGGGCCCATGGGCCAAAACTGGCCCGCCAAGCCATTTCATTTGGCCCACCAGGTGATTTTCATACTGGGGACCTACTAACAAGGGTGAAAAAATTCCAGGGACCCCTTCATAAACCCCATTTTAAACCAACATTTTAACCCTTAAATTCCATAAGAATATGATTTTTGTTTGGTTTAGTATGTTTGTTTTACTAGTGCATCGTTCCCTATATGCAATTATTAAAATAAAAAACAAATTAAATTATTGACATTTTTTGAGGACATGGCTCGCAGACCCCAGTTTGAGAACCTTTACTTTAAAAGACCACAAAAACTCATTTTATCAATTTATGAAATGTCCCATGAGTCTTTGCTGCCTAAGTGTCCGTCAAACTTTCTCCAAGGGCACTTTCTAAAAAATAAAATATGTGGGCCACTGCTCTGTCTGCTAGCTTAATCATTAAAAAAGAAAAGGACTGTACTTAAAGTGCTAGTGACATAAAATTATTGTAATAAATATGAACACATTTTTGGAAAGATAACATTAATAACGTATTGCGAAACTAATTTCACACCACTGAGATGAACAGATGTTGAGATATTTGCATGTGAAGAAACAGGAAGTGATGTCAAAGGGGAATGCCTGCATGTAAACAGAGCATTGTTACAATAGCTAATACAGACTGTAGAGAAAAATCTGATGTTTCTTTGAATTATTTTGAGTCACTATCAGAGAGATGAAGAACAGTTAAAGTTTAAATAATGTTTCAATAAAAACCAGAGTTGTCTTTCTTAGAGTTCCCCTTTGATGTCACTTCCTATTTCACTTTAGCTGAGCCAAGTTCAAAAGAAAATATGCAATTTATGTGACAAAATGAATAAAATTGTGTGTGTTATGCAAAGTTATAAGTTGTTTTCTTTGACTTTCTGTATCTGAAGGATATACACATCACAGAAAATTTAAAGTACCTGTGACATGTCTATCCTTCAAATACAAAAAGTCAAAGAAAGCATCTTTATACTTTATCAAAATCTTCATGATCCATTCAAATAACAGTCGCTGCCTTCTTGATGCACTGAAACCTAAATAATGCAGAGTTGCTTGCATGTCGTTTTTCACATTAGATGCTCAAACTGAGTCAGCGCATGTGCAACCTGTAGTTTTACCTGAGTGTATACTGTGGAGACGACATTTGTGGACACTTTAAAGATAGTTTTTCCTCCATCGACCCATTTCACATCAGCTCCATTCTGTAAAAAAAAGGCACAGCTGTAGTTTGAACCCTTGTGCCCTTCACATTTAATACATCAATGTTTTTATTACACAGCTGCATTCTCACTTACTTCACTTCCTACCTTCAGTCTTTATTAGTCTCACCTTGGTGTTGCTGGCTTCTTTGATGCTGAGGTATCCGGGTGGCAGGTTGCAAGAGACAGGAATGTTGAACTCTTGAGATGACACGCGACCTTCTTTCAGTATTGGCAGCCAAGAATAACCCACTTAAAAAAACCAAACACATTTTCAGACTAAGCCTGCAGTACTCATTATGACAGAGCCATGCTCAAAGTCTATCATCATCTTTACCTGGTGTCTCTAAGGCCTCTTTCCTCTTAGAATTCGTCTTAGCGTTGATGTCACAGGTGACGTGGTAAAAGGAGAAAAGTAGATGGTGTTTTTCATGAAGTTGGATGGGAAACTCAATTTTCACCTGAGATGATAAGGAAACAAATCATCATGGGAAATAGTGGCCCATTTGTGTGTGACGACTTCACTTCATCTATTGCAGAGGTCTTCGATGGGGTCGCAAAATTATTTAAATGTTTCTATGCTTGTTTTTTTCATTGCTATGTCTTTAAACACACATTACCACTAATCAAACATGTAGCAAATTGAGGCGTACAATAATGTAATTCAGTCAGAAATGCAAACATTAAGTGAGAACACCAGCTGAATTCGGCTTCACTCACAACCTGATCCTCCATGAATCCTGCACACAACCTACAATTAGTGCTGTATTCTTCTACAACACTGCAGCTCCTAATGATAAAAAACGTTGAAGACCCCTGTTTTATTTATTTCCAACTCACCTCTTCATAGAAGTCGGGGTTCTGAGAGTGATGTAGGACTGTAGAACAGGCTGTTGTGGTGAAAACTGGACCTCCGGGCTTGCCATAGATGCACTAGAAAAAAAAAAGAAATAACAAAAACTTAACTGGGAAGGGACAACAATCACTTAGAAGCCCATTTGCAATTATGTTTTTTTTTTTTTGAATAATGCTCTACCTTTAAAGGCTTGGCAAGCTCATCGTCTGAGCTGCGGAACTCTACATAGACTGCAATGTTACGAGCCTGCAAACAAGAAGAGCATTGTAATAATAATAATAATAATGAGTAAACGCATAAAAACTGCACAATAAAATCACATTAAAAACCCAAGAAATACAAAGGCCTTCTCTGGTAGCAATTAAACCTTTTATCAGCATTAAAGCAGCAGTTCATTTATTCATTTAATTGCCCTCACCTTGGCAAAGCTCTTCTGACTGTCGTACTTGAGGTGTTTGGGGTAGACGTAGATGTGGTTTCTGTAGACGCGGTGCGGCTGGGTGAACTTGGTGGTGTCCTGGACAAACTCTTCCACCTCCACAGTGGGCTGATGTATGCTCAGCTCTTCGAAAGGCTTCACCGGTACATATGAGGAAGTCACGCAGTCTGAAGGAAAGGTTTATTTAGAGTAAAGTAAGGCAAAGAGGCGGACAATGAGGAGGTGTTGTCTTAACGAAAAAAACCTACTGGGATGCTCCATCGGGATGTAGTCTAAGCCAATGTCCAGTGTCCCAGGCACAGTCTGCAGTTTGCTGTTCTTCTCAGCCCTGTGGAAACAAAAGTTGTCACCAGATTTAGAAACATGTTTATTATCTTGGAAAAATGCTTAAAGGGATCGAGGATTAGTTGTAACATTAGACTTTATTTAATAAACATATATTTTAACTGTAAAATAAAGACTGTAAAAATACTGTAGGCTGTTTAGTTTTGTAAATTTATATATATATATATATA